AGAGCAGGGGGCTGGAATTCAGGAATAGTGGCCTCCATGTTTTCTTGCTGTGTGACTTTGGACAAGTGACATCCCTTCCCCGAACTCCTGTTTCTTCGTCCACAAAATAGGGTTAAAGTATAAACCCGTGTAACTGTTGGGAGGGTTTAAGATCATTTCCATAAATCGTCTACCCTAGTGCCGGGCATATAATAGTTGGGAAATAAATCGTCACCATTATCATCATCATCAGCATCATCATCACCATTGTCCGTAGTTAGGCCACGTAGTGCCAACTCCAATCCCAAGTACAGCAATTTCCCTGCTCCGAGCCTGTTCCACACGACATCTCCCTCCAGTGACTTGAAGACCTCAGAGGTATTAGGACTTTTGATGAATAAGATGGGGACTCCTCATCTACCCGAGACTGTCCTGTGTTCCCTCAGCGTCCTATAGACCTGAGACGTGGTTCCTTCCCTGATTTCTTTCCATAGGACAAACCGGGCTGCGTGAATGTCCACCTCAGGCCTGGAGGACAAGACCACACGGGCAAGGAGGTAAGCAGGAAGTGATGGGGAAGGGCCGAGGGTCCCCCATAGGGCCGGCCTAGACTATGGGGGACTAACGCTCATGGGGGACAGTGAAGACAGGGAACCAGCACAGTCACTTTAAGATTGGGAGATGGAGGCTCCCGAAGAAATTCCGGAAACCCCACCTAGGACCTGAGGCGGGGGGAGTGACGTCATGGGCCGCGTGGCCATTGGCTGCTCCGTCTGCCACTCAGAGCCTACCGATAGGACGCGAGCTGGGGCGGGTGGAGCAGGAAGCTCTGGGCTCTGATTCCGACTCCTCCTCCTCACCCGCAAACGTGCTTCGAAGTTCCCGGCTTCCCGGAGCGACACTCTGGGCCGTCAGAGACGCCGGTGCCCCATCCCAGCACCGCCGGTGGCCGGGAACCCGCGGAGCGACCGGGAATTGCATACATGGGGCATGGCACTTGTCATCCCACGTCCTCCTTTAGGAACCACGCTGGGGGAAGGTGCCGACTGATGCAGAAAACACAGTCTGGAGTGTGGCCTAACTACTGACGATGGTGATGATGCTGCTGCTGCTGATGATAATGGTGATAATGATGATAATGATGATAATGGCTCTCGACCTGATGAGTCAGAAACGTGTGACGTAAAGCAGCACCGGATCGGCCAGTTATACAGAGCAGGGATTATGAATTGGTTGGTGTAGATATAACAGGTACAGTATGCGTGCGTTTTCCAGTTGTACGTGCGCACACACATTTACACACACATGTACACAAACATTGCACAAACATTGCGGAAAGCGTTAAGAATTAGCGGTGCCATCGCTCAGCTTCTTTCTTTACCGTTTACTGTATATACTAAAGGTTTTTTTTTTTTCCCTCACGGAGTGTATGAATTGCCTTTATAATCAGAAAAAAAAAAACACCAATAAAGTTAAAACAATATGAAGTTCGGTCAGACCCCACAGTGTCATTTCCGGAATGTTTTTCTGAGCTGTCTTTATGGAGGTGCCCAAAAGCAAATTTTTTCATCACTATGACGGTTACAAAAGAAGAAATAAGGAGGGAAGGAGGGA